TTTTTGGATTTTGAAAATCCAAAAATTGTAGTTTTTGGATTTTGGAATTTTTGAAATTTGAAAAATCTGAATATTGCAATTTTTAGATTTTGAAAAAACTAAAAAAAACAATTCTCAGATTTTCAAAACCTGAAAATTTAATTTTGAAACAAATTTCATATTATCAAATCCTCAAAATGTTAAGGGACTCTAAACTGGAATTTTTCATGTGTTGAATATCTGAAAATTGTAAAGCAGATTTTGAAAATATGAAAAATATAAAATTTTGAGATATTTAGAAACCAAAAAGTTCAATTTCTGCTAGTTGGCGCACATGTAAATTTGGGTCTTCAAAATCCAAAAAAGGCAATTCAGTCATTTTTTACAATATTGACCAAATGTTGTAATAACCGGTATATAATGGATAGAGTGGTAACAACGAAAAATTTGTAGATAACTTAGAAATAACATTAAAAAGAGGGTGCGGTTTGTATAGAGCTAACACTCTAAACAAGCAACTTAGAGCCCATTCAAATAGTATTGAGAAATATGGTTTTAATATTGAAAATCTTTGTGATATCATATATTTTTATCTTTAATTATAAAATTTAAAGCTTTAAAAATAGTGTAGATGAAGCAGATCTATGAACACTTGAAAAACTTGAAAACTGACAGTCCAAAAATGCATTACAATGTGCATTATTTTCAAAACTTGAAATCTATTTTTTTCTCATATCCATGCATCTTGATGTCAAGATGATCAATTTAAGGATATTTGGGCATCAAAACAACCTCTTCTAGTAAAATTTTTGAGGTGGGCTTTAATTTGATTGTTTAGAGCCTCGGCTCTATATAAACTTTTCCCTTAAAAATAACTATTATATGGGAAATTTTACTTTTCAATATGACATAAATATTTCTTTATTAGGTGCAGTTGGCATTAGGATACATCCATAGGTGTAGAGGTAAGATGCACCTTCAATTTTTATCATGGTGTATAATTTTGATGTAAAATGTTCTTAGGATTATCTCAAAATCTATTTTTATATCTAATTATAAATTTAAAATTTCAAAAATGAAAAATCAGGTAGATCTATAAACATATGAAAATCTTGAAAATGGACAGTTGTCACACCCCAAGAATTTTCAATACTGATATTCCTGAGATGTGACAGTCAAAACATATATATATTTCTTGATAGGACAAATTTACAGTGGAGAATTCTTATAAGGTAATAAAAGAAAGTTAGTACAATAACAATATCTTCCAAGGTTGATCTCGACTAGCACTCAAAATGAATCCACATTTATCCTGAAAAAATGTTTACCATAATTTGATGAGTTTGGCTACTCAGTAAGTGATCATCATAATCTTAAAAATAATCAAGATTGAAAGATATCAATATTTTCAAAAAGGAGATCTATTAATAGGAATGCATTAACAATTTCACTTTAAAAAATGCATAATTAAGTATAATCCGAATAATTGAAATACATATCACATTTTAGCATCAATGCATAATTAAAAAGATTTTACAAAATACCCTATTGGCGTCCCAAGTAGGTCACCTATATACCCCATCAGCGTCCTGATAGGTCCACTTAATCTCTATTGACGTCCCATATAGGTCCACTTAATTCCTGCAGGTCCACTTATACCTCACCGACGTACCGGATGAGTCTACTTAATCCCTACCGAATCCCAGATAGGTCCACTTATACCTTACCGATGAACCGGATGAGTCCACTTGCATACTTAAAGTATTTCTAAATCTCTTTAAATATTCGAAAGCAGCAATATTATGTACTCAACGTATCACTGAAATCATTAATATGAATCTCACTGAAACCATTAATAACATTCACTTTCAATAACATTTCAAAAATAACCAATCAATTATTTTGGGCTCAAATTTAGAAAGGTAGCAGTTCGTAAAGGCATTCTAGCATAATTGCCAGTTTAATATATATAGAAAAAACTCTTATAGAATTTCAAGAATACGGAATTATCACAATTTATGGGATATCAATTTTCACAATAATGCTATAATCAATTGCAAATATATCAATTTTTAAATAATAAGGCAGTCATTTGCACATCAATTTTACAATATCTAAATATTCAAAAATAGTAGAAAGAAATATCACAATTTTACTAAAAGCAGAAATATCACATAGATTTCTAATAATTTTACAGTATCTAAAATTTTCTAACAATAGACAAGAAAAATAAATAAATTTATTTTTCTAAGAACTTACGGCATTTAAAATTTCTAACATAGATAAAATATCACAATTTTTATTAAAAAGATTATTTTTCAAGATAATGAGGTCGTGTGCGCATAAAATTTATCGCGCCTAAAATTCAGGATAATAAGCAGAAATAATTATTTCATTTTATTTTTAAAAAGAATGGATTATTTTTCGAGACAATGAGGTCACTTACACACAAAACTTATAAAATAAAGATCCTGGACGGAAATATCACTATTTTTTAAAAACAGACTATTTTTCAGGAAGACGATGTCACTTACATTAATTCTGAAATTGAGGGAGCATCCGTTTTGGATGTTGGCTTATCATATGTGTTATCATAGTCTCGTGTATATGGTTCATAGACCATGGTTAGAGAGAGAGGTTATAAATGGAGAAGGTCTAGTACAGAGAGTTGTGGTTTGGTAGAGGAGATAAACGAAAGAATCTCCTTTATTGTTGAAGCAGAGGATGCTTCTTGAGGGAGGGTCGATGAGCTGTTAATGAGAGAAAAGAGAAGCCCCTTGACCCCAAAACGCAGAGAGAGAGAGAAAGAGTGACACAGGCTAATCAAAAGGATACACCTCATATGCAAGGTGTACCTTAAAGAGGTGTTTTTATAAAAACTTTAAGTGGTGGACCTAAGGTCCACCCAAGTAGAATTGAACCCTCGAGTATATTAATAATAATATCATTTATTTATTGTTAATATATATTATTGTTAATATAAAAGCAACAATATCTTAACGGTATATTAGTATTATTATTATTATTATCATTACTAATATATATTTATTATTTTATGATTTTATTTATTTATTTTTTATACTTATTTATGTTAACACCATTAATATTATTATTATTTTTTATTTTTTATTTTTTTGAAAGTTTAGGATTGTTACAACAGTGTAGATAATATGTTGTAAAATGCACTATTTTTTATACTTAAAATCTTTTTATTTTTCATAGTCATACATCTCGAATGTCGAGATGATCAATCAAAGGGGTTTTCAACATTAAAACTACCTTTTCCGATGGATTTTTGAGGGCCATCCGTAGTTCTACATTATAAAGTAGCATCCTTATATAAACTTTTTCCTTCTTTTATTTCACACAACCTGCAAAGCAATTGATTTTAGAGAAACACATCCCTTTTCCCTTTGAGTTTTGGCAAAGATGATTGACTCTGCAATTGATTTATTCATGTTTGTGCATTGTCGCCATCCTTTGTCAAAATGGATGAGTATTAAAAATTAAATCATCATCGTCAAAGCCTTTGCCCACCTAATTTGGGTCAACAGTATTAAATCATCATCGTCAAAGCCTTTGCCCACCTAATTGGGGTCAACAGTATTAAATCATCATCGTCAAAGCCTTTGCCCACCTAATTGGGGTCGACAGTATTGAAAATTAAATGTAATCAAGAAATAGTTGTTTTTGAAGTATTTGTTCCCGAAACCAAGGGTTAAATTTTATTATGCAAATCAAGGTTAAATTTTATTATGCAAATCAAGGTTAAATTTTATTATGCAAATCAAGTTCAAAACTTGATTTTGGCGGATTTTTATTTTATTTTATAAGGAGTAGGTCATGTAATATTCCACCCATTCTACAATTTTTCCAAAGTTTTTGAGATTTTTTAGAGCATAGTAGGTATTTATTTTATGAAAACCCTAAATCTTATGATCATTATTTGTTAATTTGCCTCTCGCCTCAAACTCAATCCTAGCCCGAGGCAAGTTACTTTGAGTAATAGAGTAAAGGGAAAGCTTTTTATGTTCCATGTAACATATAAGTGCTATCCTCCCCCTTATTCAACCGTTCATTTTTTAATGGAGGGTTAAGATTGTCGCAATCACATTGTCACGTCTCTACACTATTTTATTTTTATTTTTTTTATAAATTATTTTGATACCAAATTTTGGACATTCATTCCTCTATTAAACTCCACTAACAAAAAATATTTTCAATAAAATACAATGACCAAAATACCCCTGAAAGCTTCAAGGGATATTTAGGTCATTATAGTTTATAGAAAAATTATTGTTAATATTTTTTTATAAGTATGCCCCCAATGAGAAGATGGCACGAACCAAATTTCATATTCAGAAAATTTATATTAAAAATCTAAAAATAAAGTACTTTGAGACGTCGGATCTAAGATCAAATGGTGACATGGCTCTCATGATAAAAAATGGACAAGTTGGATGGTCGGGGAGGATAGAACTTCTATGTTTTTGGGAGAACATATAAAGCTTTCCCTAGTGTAAATGGCTCATGAGGCACTAAAAAATAAAAATAAAAATAAAAAGTTAGTTTAAAATAAAATAAAATAAAATTTGTAAAGGCGAAACAAAATTAATGGAAACATAAAAAAATCTTGAAAAACTGAAAAAATATTATATTTAGAAAATTTTGATTTATAGTTGGAGACATTATAAAAAATTCTAAAAAAATAAAAAAAAATATGACAATAAAGAAGCTCACAAATCATTGTAAAAAAAATTCTACACATCATTCAAAATTTTCATATGTTTTTTATTTTTAAAATTTGTTTTTAAGCGGCCGAGTTACACCATTGTGGTCTACAAGGAGCGGTTTTCAGTAACTCGCCCCAAACTGAGGCAAAACAAGTCCAATGGGCTTCAATCGCCAACTTGCTAACTATGATATAGATACAAATCCAATGGGCTCCAAAAACTTGCCCGGAGGTGGACTTGGTCGGGCTTCTTCATGAGGCCCATGAGGTCATGACAAACATGACTTTAAGTAGGTTAAGTGGCTAGGCCCCTGTCTACAATTGAAACCACCTTCTCACCGACCATTGCTGCGCGCTAGGAGCTCAGAGAAAGCCACAGTGAGTTCCTCTTTTTTTATTTTTTTTATTTTTTAAAGCTCAAAGAAGATAACCCCATATCTAAAAGAGATTTTATTTCTGATTTAGGTTCTTTTTTCTACATAGAGCTTTTTTATTTGATTTTCGTTTTTTTTTTCCCTGATTATGCTCAGAGAAAAAAATCCATATTTACAGAATGTTTTTTTTTTAGGTTATATTTTTCCTCAATGAAATAGACCAGAAACATGTATTTTTCTCCAATTTACGCTCCGAAAATTCCCTTTTCTAGTAGTGTGTTGTTCCTTGTTCTTCTGTGAAATCTTCTACTTTTGGCCATATTTTTCTACGAGATCATTTCCTGTATGGAGTAGAGCAGACATGTGCACGTTTTCTGCTATTTAATCTCAGAAAGCTCACTTTTTGACAAAATGTTCCACTGTAACATCATTTCCTGGGTACTAGATCGCAAGTTTAGGACTTCCTTCAATTTAAGCTTCGAAAATTCACTTCGCTGGTGATCGATTCTTTCATCTCCAGAGAATTCTTTTTTCTCATGGCAAGTTTTTCTGCTTTAATAGCATTTCCTGTATGGAATAGACTATGTGCTCTCTTTCAGATGCAAATTTACAAATTTCTATTGGATGATTGGAGTTTTAAACTTCTCTGGTAATGAAGAGATTTGTAGACTTTGCTATGAATTCAGCCATATAGAATAGAACCTTGTAAAATTCTTTCCAATGAGTGTTAGAAAGAGCGTGATTATAAATAATTTGATAATTGATTATGTGGATTGTTACATAGGATTTTAGAAGAATGTTCAATGGATGGATGGCTATGGCCTAATTTTCTTAATGGGCAATAAGCATTGCTGTTTCTGATTTTTTACTTCATCTAATTCTGTAATTCATCTGTTATTCTTAGCATTCAACTCATAAATGATATCAATTGACATTTAAACTTTCATGATCTGTGACACTAATTATGAGCTCTAGAATGGAATTTCTCCACAGTTGTTGGGTTAAATAGGCGTGGCATAGACTTAAATATCATTATATATTGCATATAGAATGCTTCCGTGATTTATGTATGGAGTTTTTTTTTTTCCTTACCTATCACATACTCGGTAAGCCATATCATATGTTCTTTTTTTTTTTTTTCCCTGGCAAGAAAATCTTATTCAAAATCTGCATTTTTTACACATCAAATTAATGAAATACATAATGAACAGTTAAGACAGGCAGTTTCCAGCTTTCTCTATACAAAACAGGTGAAGATACCAGCACCATAGACCCATATGGGCTTGAATTTTAGGCTCATTAGGTTAATGGGTTGGGCCAGGGCTTTGGTATTTGGCTGACCAACCGTTACGTAATTTTTCAGTTTCAATTGGAGGGGAGGATTCCTGTCACTGGACGGTAGAATTACCTTAATTAAAGCAACCTTGGCTAGCATCCTTGTCTTCTAGATGTCTCTCTTTAGGATCCCCATGTCCATTGCTAATCGTCTTGAAAAAATTATGAGGGATTTCCTGTGGAATGGGGATTCCGAGGGCCATAAATCCCACCTGGTTGCTTGGGATAGAATTTGCACTTCAAGAAAGAAAGGAGTGCTTGGAATCAAGAAATTGACCCTCATGAACTCTGCCCTCCTTGGCAAATGGTGGTGGAGGTTTACCTCCCCACATCCTTTACTGTGGAAAGAAGTCATCTCCGTTAAATATGGTGTTGGAGACAATGGCCAGCTCCCTTCTTCTTGCTTGCATCGAGCCTCAGGTGCTTGGAAGTTCATCTCTTCTATTAAATCTGCCTATAGCAGCCTCATTAGATTCATGATTGGGGATGGGAACCGAGTCAGATTTTGGAAAGATATTTGGCTAGGAGATTACTCACTACACCACCTATTCCCATCCTTCTTTCTCAAAAAAAAAATATGACATACAAGTCCAAAGGGCTTCAAAAGAATGCTCCGAAATGGGCCAGGTTGGGCTCCTTCATAAGGCCCATGGGGTCCAACCAGACCTGAATTTAGGCCCTCTAGGTTAAGTGGCTAGGCCCTGGTCTGTCTGGGCCCAGGCCAAGCAAGTCGAAAGCACCTTCTCACGCTCTTTTTAGTTCAGCCCTTTGGCCATTTTATCGAGATTTAACAGCTATTCGATTAGAGATTATAATAACTTAGGCTATATTTCAAATCGATGGTTTGCAATGCACACCCCAGAAACCTATCATTAACTTCTTTACAAAGTTTGTATCACCCCAAATGTCAATGTTTTTGCAAGGTTTTAGAGAGAAAGAGAGAAAGGAAATAGCAGATTATTTAGAAAAAGCCACTATAAATGCCAATATTTTTGGAGGAGTTTAAGGAGAGAAAGACGGGAAATTGGGGATTTATAGATGGAAAAGCAGTGGTTGTAGAGAGATAAACAGAAGAACTAGGGTATGGAATGGATGAGAAAGCTTTTCAATGTTAGCGTCTTTTCAGTCTGGGTGACAAACAATAAGCAAATAATATCATATGAAATATAAAATACTTACCAACAGTTAACAACTAAACATTCTGTAAAATATGTTAATTTTAAATGAAATAATCTGTTTTTTATAAAATTATCAATCATCCTATAGGCCCGTAGTAAAGTTTATTGCAAAAAGAGATGTACAAACATGTGGTCATCTTGGAAAGGGAGAAATTTATACAATACTAGAAGTGAGGTTTCAGTAGTTTATACTGTTCATTTTATCTAGACAGTGTAGATTTGACACTATCTCAAGAGACTACTACGTTTTCACATTATTTAGAAGACATGTCAAATCTACACCACCCAAGTAAAATGGATGGTATAGAACATCACAACCTTATCTCTACAAGCAAGGTTGTCACTATAAACTAGACTTGAAAAGGAAAAGTATAAAGATTTAAAACCCAATCTACTTTCAGACCTCGGATTTCGGATATGAAGCATCTTTTTATGTGCCTGTCCACTTCAATTTTTTTTTTCTGAGAAAAATGATCTGCTAATTCTCAAGTGGGTAAAACAAAAAATTCAGATAGTAAAAGCTGTTGCACGTTGCTCTTTCACCCCAGGGAGTAAGTGTATAGTTTGATCCTCGGAGCATAGTATTTTGGAGGTTTATAAACCTGGTTCTTTTGTTTAAAATAAAAGGTGTCTCTCTCATTCCCCTCTTAGATCTGAGGCCCTTCAAGCTCATCATTCGGGTATGTGTAAATAAATTGCTTTCTCTGCTGAACCTTTGCTTTATCTAGCAAACGCTATGTTAACTCATTTATCGCTTTTCATGGGATAAGATGATGTATCATTCTAGGTTTTTCTTCCTGATAATTTAGGGATTTTTCTGATTATTTATCCTTTTGTGGTTGTATCTTATACATTTATGAATATTTTGTCATGTATCTAAAAATAATAGTAGAATTTCACACTTTGTTCCAATATTCACTATTTGCTTCTATCATATGATACATAACTGGATTTTTGTAGTTAAAACACTATTCTCTACACTCTTTTCTTCTTTCGAGAACTCTCCATAAAGAAAATGGCGTGCTTCCGTCTCTATTATTTAAAATTAATGATTAATAATAATAGTACTAATAATAAATCTGTTCAAATAATAATATAACAATAATACAAATGATAATCATGTTCATTTTTTATGTTTACTATGATAATAAAAATATTTAGCCACTTATAAGAATTAAACGGAAACATATTTAGGCAATTGATTTCTAAATTGGTAGCCTGTTTGTGTTTTTGTTGCATATCTGATCTCTCATAATCATCAAAAAGATAAAACCTGATATCCTGTAAACCATGTAGGTTTTACTGATTTCATAACCTCACTTTCTCTTTGTTTTTTTGCAGGTACGTGTTTCCTGATTTGTTTCTTTTATGCTCATTGTCTCATTGATTTTAGTGAATAAATAAGGCTCATAGTTATTGGTAAGAAGAAGGCTGGTTAGTGCAAGATCATCAATCATCATGGTTGCTCCAAAATCAGAGTAAGCATTACCTTCACCACATATAATTCATAATATTTTTTTATTTGGCTTGTCATATTATGTGTGCTGAACTGATGGCTTATCAGGGGAAAAAAAATATGTGCTTGATGTAAGTCCTTTACTTCTCCTTGTCAAGTATTATTTGTTGTTATGGATGGAATTTCTTGGACCTGGTGGCTTTGCTTTTTTATAATTTCATTTTTACTTTTTTTACTTTCTCCAAGTATTTTCGCTGCAGTTTTCAGCCAGTAATGTGAGTGCAACCTAAAAAGTTAGTGAAGTCAGATCATGATTCGATAACAACTTAAAAAATAGAAAAAAAAGCTGATCACTCAATGGTGGTGTAGACTGGGAAATCAAGGAGAACATTTACAGAAGCAAGTAAAGGAATGGATGAGATAGGGTAAAATGGTAGTGTAGACTGGCGATTCAAGGAGAACATTTATGGAAGCAAGTAAACAAATGGATGAGATAGGGTGGCTGCTCATGGCTGTGGGACAGAACATGAACCCTCTAGGGGCTTTGTGTGGCATGGATAGATGGCCAGAAAGCTGCTTCATTTAATAGATAGCCCCAATTAGGGGATGGAATGAAGGATAACAAGATTTTGGCCTGACCCCAGCTTGGGCCTCAAACCATTAAAGACTAGCTCCTTAGCCTTTTCGGAATTGCTATGAACCTCTTTGACAAAGTTCAAGATGTGGTACAAGTTGGTGGGACAAACGCCACATGGACTCCCCAGCCCCGATCGATCAGCTACTACGGGCTGTTGTCCATCCCTTCTACATGATTCCACCCAACCATGCATTAAAAAGAAGAGGAAATGGAGATGTTAATGATTTCGTTAGCAAAGCTACGGACACATTATTTATGCCAGCAAAGGGGGACCAACTAATCTGTATGCCTGATACTAAAGGAAATTTCTTAGTTAAATGCACATACCAGATCCTAACTTGATGTTCTATGCAAGTTGCAGTCACCCAAAAAGTTTGGCTCATCCCTGCATTAACCAAGACTCAGATATTTTGGATTGTTAGCTTCCCATGGCAAGGTGCTGATCATTGAAGACCTTGTGAGCTGAGGATTTGTCATCCCTTGCGTATGCCTGAGCATAAGCAGGCCCCATGATCAATAGATCACTTTACTTCTCCATTGTAAGGAAACAAGTAAAAATTTGGGCTTTTGCAGTCGGTATTTTCGGGTTAAATTGGTATACCGTCCCTCAGTCGAAGCCACATTGCAGCAAGGTATAGCCCACTTTTACCCAACCTGGGACTTGATTTTATGGAACCTCAAGAAATGGTTGGTGCTTCAAGAACCAAATCAAGGGGATGAGAGGAGGAAAGAATAAACTAAGATTCCTGTGGCCTCATGGGGGAACCATGAAACGAGTTCTGGGGATATTCACTAAATGACTTCAAATTGAAATAGAGAGAGATTGTGGTTGGCAAATTACCAGGAGAGGGTAAACCTTCAATGTGGATGCCTCCTGTTAGGAGGGTAAAGAAGCTGGACTTTGATAATGGTTTTGTGAGCAAACTGGGAAGAGCAGGCAGTGGGATAGTGTTCTGAGAAATGATCATATAAAGATTGTTTTATGCTTTTGGGGCCCATTACATGATTGCCATACAAACGAGGCAGAGGCACAGGCAGGGGCTCTGCTAACTGGGCTGATGAAATTAGACATAGTTAGAACTAATAATTGAAAGCAACTATGCAACAACCATTGCTTGTGCCAGTAGAAGACTTGAGGCAAGAACATCTTTAAAGGGACTTTTGCTCACAAAAACTGTGTGTAGAGGGAGTCGAACCAATTAACGGACTCACTGACTGAAGGAATGTATGACTCTCCATTAGTAGTATATTTTTGTAATTTTAGTAAGTCATTAGCTGGTATATATTTGACTCTTAGGAGGATATATATCAGTATTCAGCTGGGAGATGGTGCGTAGCTGGGTGTTGTATGCAGACCACATTTTGTATTTGACACACATACTTGTAAAACAAAATTTGTTTGATGGAAACAGTTAGCACTAAAAAAAAAGGCAACAACCAAATTTCATGTTACCTCTTTTTATGTAAAGGGTAAGAATCAAGATTGAGCTATAGTACTTTATTCTGTTTTTATTCATATGATTCCTTATGCACACTTTACTCAATTGCTTTATAGTCTCGAAAGTCTAAACTCTAGAATGGGGTGGAGGAAGGCAGTCTCCATGCAAATGCAGCTGGAGTTTAGGCTAGAAGTTTCTCAATATGACAGTCATCAAGAAGTACACAGAATTATTCTAATTTGATTAATTATCTTGAATTTTTAGGCCATAATAGTGTAGACTGCAGAACAATGTTTAATTTGCCACCATGTAACGAAAGTCTTCTGTGCTTTCAAATATTCTTCAGAATGTGCATTGCTAAAATTTGTGTCCAGAGCTTAGATGGCTCTAGGCATCCAGACCTGAAGTGTATTCTCCTTCTCTGAGAAATAGAGCCAAAGAGTGATGCTAGGTACAAAAAGCTGATATGTTTAAGGGGACGTGTAGTGGCGACTCCCATATTCATATGGCCTCTTTTATTTTAGAATCCTCATATAAATTGTCCTTCCTGGGCTTCTTTTGGCTATTCACAAGGTAAGGGACTCATGTCATTTTCCTTCTATGGTGGACTAAGTAATCAGTTCGACACGTTATATTTAACCTTAATCCTTACTGGAATATAGAGCTAAAGAATGATGCTAGGTGCAAAAAAGTAATATGTTGCATTAAGGTACTTTCGAGTGGTGACTCCAATATTTGGGGTAATGCTCTATTAGGGTGTGGGTTTTTTACATTTGTAGCCTCAACGTCATGGCCTCTTTTATGTTAAAATCCAAATATAAATAGTCCTCTTGGCTATTCACATGGTAAGGGTTAAGGGACTCCTGACATTTTCCTTATATGATGGACTAAATACCCAGACCAACACATTATATGTAGCCTTGATCCTTACAGGAATATTTATGAAAGGGAAAAGTTTATACAAGGGTGAGTCATCCTTACAGGAATATTTATGAAAGGGAAAAGTTTATATAAGGGTTAGGCCCTAAACAATCAAATTAAGGTGCACCTAAAAAATTCACTAGAGGTTGTTTCAATGCCCAAAAATCCTCAAATCAATCTCTTGACCTCTAGATGTATGGATATGAGAAAAAATGGATTTCAAGTCTTGGAAATAGTGCATCTTGTAATGTATTTTTGGACCATCAATTTTCAAGATTTTCAAGTGTTCATATTTTTAAAGCTTCTTTCTAAAAAATACACTATTTTTAAATCTTTAAATTTAATTAGAGATGAAAATAAATTTCCAAGCCATCCCAAAAATTTATAGTATTGTGGCAACATCTTTCTTCACTATTTGAAGGCGTTCCTTACTTTGATCGTCTAGGGCCTCAGCCTTATACAAACCACATCCTTTATAAAATTTTAAGTTTGGCTAAAGAATGAAGGTTACCAATTTCCCTATCTACATTATTTTAAAGCTTTAAATTTATAATTATTGATGAAAATAAATTTTCAAGCCATCCCAAAAATTTATAGTATTGAATCAACATCGTTGGACACTATTTGAAGGCGCCCCTTACTTTGATTGTTTAGGGCCTCAGCCTTATACAAGCCACACCCTTTATAAAATGTTGAGTTTGGCTAAAGAATGAAGTTTACCAATTTCCCTATGTGGGGCTACGGGTGCTTTGTCCATTGATTGCTTTTGCATTGTTATGAATCAGTTGCAAAAAGCATGCATCACTGTCCTAATGCCTATGATCTTATCTAAAATATTTGTTGTGCATGTGAGAGGTTAAGAGTTTAATGATTTTGTAATAAATTTAGTGTTTTCCTATTGTTATGGCCTCTTAAGAAATTTATCGTACATTTGTGCAAGATATGAGCCCTTGGGACCAGTAAACCAACTACCACGAGATGTCTCGTTACGCTAACAACTGAACTCTTTGGGTCCGGGTCTCAATCACCCCTATTTCAATCATGAACAGCGTAAACTGGGTATGGTTAGTATAACTACTCATGCTACTAGAGAAACTACCATATGCTCTACTGTAACTCAGTATGGATCTGCTCATGCAACTGGATGGACTCGGCCGATGTGAGTATAGAATTCCCTGGTTTGAAAGGAAAGAAGAGATTGATTCTAAAGTTTCGGATTCTGGTTCAAAGGCAGTAGGAATCCCGGCCAGAGGAGGTCCTCCAAGACGTGCATTCACTCCCTGGGGGATATCCATCCACTCAAGAAGGTAGGGAGGAGCTGAGGTGAAGGTGACTAATTAGTCTGCAAGGGTAAGTTGGCAACCAGGAAGGCCGTGCCAGGTAGTTCAGCGGCTGAACGAGAACGCCAAATAGAGATGCCGGAGGAACTTGGCATGACAGAGACATTCAAGGTCTCTGAATTGACACCCTACTATGGGCTTAGGAGGAGACGGCTGGAGCAGATCAGCCGGTAGTGAATTCGTGCTTCATCCAAATCTCAGACAGAGTCAATGAATGAATCCGGTTCATTAACAATTCCCAGATTGGAAGTGGCCAAAAAGAAAGCATCGACTTCCCTACCATATCCCAGGGAGACCTAACTGAATGATCAAAAGGTATTGATGAATCCGACAGTAGGGCAGGTGAAGCAGTGGACGGAATCTACTATTTATCAATAGTTCACCTTGTTCTTGTTGAACTGCTAGCAACATGTTTCATTGAGAGGCAGGCTTGTAAGGCTGCTGTCTCCTTTCCACCCACATATGCCTATAATTTATTGCAAACCCATTCCATGAATCCTGAAACTGTCAACAACAGTATCAAACATATGCCATGGGAGGTATTCTGTTTCACCTTCTATCATTTGTTTTTTTTTTGCTGCCATGCTAATTGGTTGGATTTTTTTATTTATGAAAAACTCCTGCTCTGAGAAGTGGAGAAAGTTTGCTTTTAAAGTTGTTCTTGTTGTGGTTTGAAGGATTCATAGCCATCTTGGGTATTGCACCAGAGCAAGTGGAATAGGAAATCACCTCAGATTTTATTAGTGTTTTAAAATGCGGCCGCATCGCCGCATCATGTGGTATGCGGTGGGCTCCGCATTAGAACTGAACGCATATGCGCTTTTGACCTATGTGGCCGTATATGCGCCGCATCAGACCGCATCGTAGCTGCATCCCGCAACCCCTTCTGCTGAATTTTTTTTTTATTTTGCCCTTCGGGGAGGAGCAAAATGGTCTTTTTGACCATCCAAAAATGGGGGAATCTGTTTGGGGGGTATTAAACCCCCTAAACAATGATTTCCAGCCACTTTTGTGGCTTTTTTTTCATCAAATCGAGGGAAAAAAAAATTTGGCAGAAATTTATTTTTCATTTAAATCTTCGATTTGCGCGGTTGTTTGATACTTGGATGTTCCTTTGATGCTTTTGATTGTTAATTTGGGGATCTTAGGGTGAATTTGTGATAAGAAATCGAGGGGCAAAATTTGACTTCAAATTTCAAAATTGACTCTCAAAATGGATGATTGTATTAAGTTATTAACTATGAACTCTTCTTGAGCTTGAATTTTGGTTTGTAATATCACTATTTTGTGCTTATGATTGTGCTTATGCTTGTGCATATGGTTGTTGATGGTTGTGCTTTTGTGCTTATGGCTGTGCTTATGGTGCAAATTTGTGCTTATGGTTGTTGATTGTTTAATGTTTTATGAAGCTAGTTTCAAGTTTCAAGTTTCTAGTTTCTATCAGGGGATAGTGGATAACTAGATACAGAATCTCTTACAGCTAATAATTTTGCAGTTAATCATTAAACTAAAATACCTACTATCACATATATCACTTCCATACCTTTTTCTATGCATTGACCTATTTTTTTAGATGTTTTATAATTTTTTTACATTTATTGACCGCATCGTTGCGATGCTCCGCATCGAGTCGCATCCCGCATATAAAACACTGGATTTTATTGCAGCAATGAAAGCAGATTTGTCCATTATGCTGTGATATGAAAAAACTTTTGGACGTAGA